GGCTTATTCCAAAGTTGTTGAAGTGGCTCCAGGGAGTAATCCACCAGTGTAACTCTTTTCTCACTACCTGCCCTTCGGCACATCCACTCAGACAGAATCCCGCACAAAGTCGAAATCCACTCGGAGAAAACACAAATGTATAGTTCCTCAACTCTCACCTTTGAGCCATTGAGTGTGAAAAGTGAAGTCATCACTCAAGGCTATTGTTGTGAGATTAATGGTCCCCCAAGGCCTCTGCAGACCGGACTGTGGATCTTTCAGAAGGTACTCAGAATATGACAAATCCGCTCTCAACTCAAAAACAGGAGAATAATACAAGATCGACCCGCATTTGCACTTGCAAAAAGTTCCTTTTGCTGGTGATTCAATGGCGTAGATGCTGGCACTGGTTCAGCATTACCATGACACTGTTTGAGTTTGTGTGTGTGTGCGCGTGTGTGTGTGTGTGTGCCTCCCTTTAATCACCTTCACCATGACAAACGGTGAAACCTTGGCCAAAGAAAAGGTGCCATCAGTGTTTTGGCTCGGTTATGCAACCGCTTAATCAAATTCAAATTATCGGAGATAAAAGAAACGGGCAAACACTGAGAGTGCTGAAGCTATTCAAGCGTGTCTGAATGAGTTGCTGAGGTTTGTCTTTCGAGTCAAACGGAGCGCTTTTTGTCTTCTGCATCCAGTGACAACTGCATTTGTAAATCTTTGTGGGTTTCGTTGTGTCCTGGCCAGGGATGGAAGATTAAAGAGCCACATTTATAAATGATACATTTCACAGTGAATAGAAAAAGTATATATATATGTATATATATATATCACACACCAAAATGTCAAATCCATATTTCTTCTTCATAAGACTTAACCGATTATTTATATATATATATATATATATATATATATTTCATATTGTAACCCATCTCTTATATGTTGCCCCACTTCACAGATGTCCGCCTACATCTGTAAAGCAAGCAGACTACTGGTAGGCACTCCAAGGTAAATCAATTACCGCCGGCCCCCAACCTCCACCGCACGCAACTCAAGACAGGTGAGTGACAGAAGCTCAGTTCGTATAACTTAAGATTTTCAACAAAGAAGTGAAACTGAGTGGAGCTGACAGGCTGAGAAAACTGCTAAGCCGTAGAGTAGCTGTCGTTAGGCGGAACCCCGTTGGCCTTGTCTTTTCAATTAACGTTGATTAGCCTAAAGCATTCAGATTCTGTTAATTTGTATATTTATTTGTTTCTAATTTCATTTCAATGGTACATTTGAGTTGGTGAATATAAGTGAAACTAATTTGGGTTCTAAAGGAAAGGAATACGTTGATTTGAAAAAAAAAGGAAGTGTAACAGAGAATTTAAAACTAAACGGAGGACCTTTTATGAATATATTTGTTTCTATTATTGTTCTAAGTCAGCAGTCGTGTGTTGTTGTTGAGCTGGAGGTCTTATTGCTCTTATTTACGGTCTGCTATCGCCGATCTCCTTACCTAGTGACCTATGTGGCCCATAGGACCACATAGAACCCCAGATACAGGATACTTCTAAATAATTGTACAAAAGAAAATTGCTGTATTATTAATGCGCTCACCCTGCCTATTGCATTTAGTTTTATAGAACTAGAACTAATAAAACTATGAAAAAGCTTCAGTCATTATATCAATATTAAACTTAAAGTTGGGTGAACAAATATAGTTTTTTCACCACTCCCCAGTGGAAATAGCTTCCATGGCTTCCATGGCTTCAATGGCTTCATTTAACTGGTAAGCGACCGCTACCACACCAGAAGCGACTGGAAAAAGATATTAAAACTCCCACATCACGTATTCAAATTTAGATCACATGCGGATGGCAGTGTCATTCAGATTGATGTTGAGCTGTACAAAACGTCCTCCCAAACCTTTCACAAGTAATCATTTCACAACATAAGCCAGATTCCCATGAAGGCCAGCTGCCTCAAGGTCTCTCACAACTGACATGACCTCCACTGTATTTGACTGGCACCAGCAAAATGATTGCATAGCATTTTGCTACACTGGGTGTGCGTTGGATGTATGTATGGGACAGGAAGTACAGGACAGACAAGCCCGGGACCTCAAAGGGTCAGCAAATGATTGTACTCTTGTAGCTTTGAACACCGGGTTTGTTTTCTCAATAAGTTTACATTCCAGTAGGAAATCAGATCTGAGATTACACCACTCCATTACCCTATCATAAATATAAGCAGCTTGTGTTTCCAAACAATCTCGCTCGAGTTGGACAAGTCCAATGCTGGCTTTCATGCAGCAAAATATGAGAATGTTGAGTCTGCTTTTGCAAAATGTTTTTTGTGCATGTGCACAATTTATTATCAAATGCTAACTCTCCATGCATATGCCCACTTAGAAGTGACCGATCGTTAAGAAGCGTCCCCCGTAGTTGCTAAGCCTGTTGAGTTATCTGCGGTTCATTCACAGCACGTTGTTTACGATGATAACTGGTGTTTCCCACGTGAAATCACAAACTCACAAAAGTCACCGTTTGGATCCTATCACAGTTTTGAGTCACAAATCAGATCTGCAGAAAAACAAACAGGGAGCAAATCTAACTTTTAGACATGCCACGATCGCTGTTTTTTTTTTTTAAACCGTTGCTAAAAAGGAGGGAATCCGTACATATTAAACCACTACTTGAAACTTATGTCATATTATAAACTTCAGCACCTCATTTCTGCCCGACAACTGACGATTACCGGCTGAAATTAAAGTGTAACTAGTGGACTTTTTTCAGTTGTAGCGCGCTAGCTAGCGTTAGCCCCGTGAGTCAGTAGTAGTGGACTGATTTTAAAACAAGAATCTTGTAAAAAAAAAAAAAAAAAAAAAACGTCTTGAATTCCCACTTGAAGGGTACATACAGTACATGCCGACTATTCAGGGGAGCAGATTTAGCAAACTCAATCAAAAATTTAAGTAAATTTATCGTTGACAGAAGACTAGACGTTACACCATTTCCCACATCAGTGAGTCTTTTGAGTAGCTCTTCATAAAAGTGATGTGTAGTTTTAATTTCACATGCAGAGGTGCAGATTATCTCCAACTTTGTTTCCCTTGGACAACGGTAACTGGTGCCCAGATTTTGGGACACCGTCAAAGTACGTCAACCGACGACAAGCGCTCCAAGAGATATTTGCACATGCTTTGTGTCTCGGGCCAGTCTGGGTTATTCCAAGGGTTTGTTATCTCGGGTCTCCTTCATGTGTTCGTTCACACCGCCCCTCAGCTCCCACACGGAGCGCCCGACTTTTTGTAGCCCCCTACTATCACCGAATACACACAATCCATCAAACGCGCCCACACGCAGGACCGTGCAGACTAAGTATAACAAGTAAGCACGAGGAGGCACCCGGAGACGGTAAACACGTGTGCACAATGGCGCTCTGAGGAGTAGGAGGACACGCACACTCGAGCGCAATGCACCGTCACACAGATTTGGATGTTTTGGACTCGAGAGGAATGTTGAAGCCCGGCCAGATTTGAAGACAGCTGTGTCTCCCCGAATCAGAGATTTTAATGGACTGTCCATAACAAGGACTTGACCTTCGACCCAGAGCCTTTCAGCGCTGTGTTCCCTCACTCTGCTCCTTCTTCTGGCCTAATGATGAAGACGCATTCCTTCTTCGACTGCTCATTCTTGGATTTCACTTTTGTTTTCTTGAAAATATAACAGCAGAAGGGCCGGGTGGGAGAGCGGCGTACTGTAGCCGACATGAAATGAAGGAAAGTAGGGACAGCGCGTGCAATGGGGATATAGTGGGTGGATGACAGCCGGAGAGTAAATCAGAGCAGAGCTTTTTGCCGTCTTTGCAGAATCCCACATTCAAATTGGTTCTGCTTTTTCTTTAAATACTGAAGTTTAAAGCCTCAGAAGGAGAAATGCATCAAGTGATGTCACTTGAGTCAGTGTCGGACGAGGCTGAAGACCACGTTTAAAATTGATAAAAAAATAATCTGGGGATGTGAAGTTGGAAAGATGGGAGTTTACCAGAGCTGTGTAAGCAGAGCTCCTCATTTCTGCTCGAGGCTACATTAGCCGCTACTAGCATTACACGCTCAAATCTCGAGTTGCATTGACAAGGAAAGAGAATTTATGGAATAAATAAAAAAATATCTCTATCAATTGCAATACCTTATTTTTTTTAAACTGTCCATCATGACTCCAACAATGTTATAGCAGTGCAATGCTAAATAGTTCGAGTACTCTTTTTAAGATTTCAGTTGTGGTTGATTTGGCGACACCTGTGGTTGCTGGTGGTAATGCTAAGAAGTCCCACAGTTGCCAATGACACGTTTAATCGATCACTGGGAGAAGAAGACGAGCAACTTGTGTATTTTCTTAGTTTTATGGGCATTATGAAAATCTGCAGACTATTTAAATATCAGTTTATATACTCACAATCACAAACGCGCCCAAATTGAATTCAGTACGTACATGCATTCACGTCTCCTGTGAATCAAATACCACTCAAATACGGTGTCACTACGCCACTGACAATGCAAACTACTACAAAGAAAAGTATAAAGAATGCAAATATATTACATGGCTTTAACTAAAAGAAGATCGCACTTGCCATGATGACGTTTTTCTCTTGAACAAAAGAATATTGAGGAAACACCTCGAAACGTCCCTCCCTCGGGTGTACTTGTGATATAGCACCTGTCATTGTACAGTATAGAGGGGAGTGAAGTTGTATCTCAAGTTTTTTTGTGTCGACACACAGAAAAGGCAGGTCAACCACATGAGCCAGCAGTCAGCAGGCCTGTAAACCGATCCTCATAGTCTAAGCACATCCTCTGTGCTGGGGTCCCTTTTCTGCCAGGCTCACACACACACACACACTCACACACACACGCACACACACACACACACACTCGTTCGTGCACACGCACTCGCATTCCTCTGCAGGCTCTGCGAGGGGCAGGCGCAGAGCGTGCTGAAAAGCTTGCAGCTTGTTCTTCAGAGTGAGCGTCTCTCTCTCTCTCACTCTCTCCCCAGTCGTTAAGTCAGAGAGCAGAGGAGGAAGGGAAGGCAGAGAGACCAGGGGAGGTCTGACGCCACCATCCCAGCTTGCACCTATTTCTGAATGCACAGATTGATAAATGCATGCACCCTGCGTCTGGCTTCGATTCACTGGAGGAGCGTAAGGATTTGTACCCAAGCTGTCACTCTGCAAGACATGTGTACAACTTCTCCCACCAGGACAAGAACTTGAAAGGAGCTTTGGAGACGCAGCATGCGTAAATGTCCAACGGCGAGAGAAGCCGTAGCTTTCAACGCTGGAGGTCCACTGTCAGGATGGATGACACAGGCTAACGATGCACCCCACCACTTTCTGATCCAGCTTTAAAAGGTACACATTTTAGTCAAACGAAGAAGGACCGGCTAAAGGCACGAGAACCCGATTCACCTGCGACTTTGACCCCCAGGCTCAAATGATGCTGTGGTACAGCTTTGGCCGCCGCTTGCTCTCCCTGGCGGCACTTCTGGTGATTGTGAGCTGCGGAGGAGGGGAGCAGCGCAGAGGGACGGATAGCAGCAGCAGCAGCACCAGCAGCACAGGTGGCAGCAGCAGCAGTAGCAGCAGCAGTTCTGGAGGAAGTAGTAACCGACGCTTTCACAAGATCCAGCATGGCCAGTGCACCTACACGTTCATCCTGCCGGAGGGCGAGGGAGCCAGAGGAGGCTCCTGCAGGGAGGCGAAAGCCGGCAGCCCGCAGCACAGCGGCAACTCTCTCCAGAGAGACGCTCCGCCGCTCGAGCCCGAGTTCCCCAGCCAGAAGATCCAGCAGCTCGAGCACATTATGGAGAATTATACCCAGTGGCTACAGAAGGTAAGGAGTGAGGGATGGGGAGTGTTTCAATGCAGCGCCAAACAAAGTCGACCAACAGAGTGGCCCTTTTAAAAAATATAATAAAATCAACTGCTTGATATCACATCATGTTTTCTTGGTGACAGATCAAAATAGGAATGCAGTTACATTTCCCTGTGTTTTTGAATCACATCTGTAACAGCCCTGCATGAGACCGGATCTGTCCCTTTTGAAGTGGTCATGCCGTAGTATATATTTGTTGAGATATTTGTGTTCCCGTGGGTGTGTGTGTGGTCTGTTTGTGGCTTCACAAGATAACTTGTTTTTGGTCTCTGAACAATGCTCTCAGACTAAATAGTGGGGCCGTGTTTGCGGTTTTCTCGTAGTCGACACGTTGTTTTATGTGCTTTGGAGGTTGAGATTTATTTATTTTTTGTCCGGATGAGGCGGTGTGATGCTCTGCCTTCGATGTCATAATTGGATAAACTCAAAATTGCATTGTGGTCAATTCGCAGAACAGCTGTATTTATTTATTCCTGATTATTTGTCATAACAAAGCTTCTATCCAACAACGAAATGTGTCTAGAAGACAGATTTAGCAATGCAATTTAGATGAACCCTGCTATGCTGTTATGTAACTGTGTACATTATCTGAATCAAACTTTTTGTTCTGGATGTTTCACAGCTGTCTGATTTATTTTTTTTCTTTCTTTTTTTTAAGCTTCCACAGACATCTTGTACCGCTACATCTCTTCTCATCTGTTGCTCCGTATCTGTCCAGAAAACACATCTATGTTATTCTTCTATCTCTCTATTTTTTTTACCCTTTGAGTAAATTTCACAGATGTCCTTTTGAGTTGCGCAGAGCATCGGCTGTACAGCAGAGGTAGTTATATGTCAGTCACCCCCTGTTTTCCAGTGGGCTGTCTCTTTAATGGCAGGAAGTCAGAGAGAGTCCCTAGAGACGCTCAGAGGAGGAAAAAGACAGAGAAAGAGAGTGCTCCCTTTTATTTATTCAAGGCAAGGACATAACTTCAAAATCCAGACTCCCATATAAGAAAAAAAATCTCTTAGCCTGTATTTTTCTACAGAATATAATCCTCTATTTTATTGAGCTGGTGTGACATAAAGTAACTCATTTAATCACTCCTGAACAACCGAATTACAATGTATTTATAGATCCACTGAGGTGTCGGCTATGTTCAAATATGGCTCCACTGTAATGTTAATGAGCTGCGAATCATCGCGAGGCCATCGCTGATATGGCTTGGCAGGCACTCTGCTTTTCTAAGCTTTGAGACTTTGTGTCTCCAAAGAGAGCGAGACTATCTCGCTGAAATGAATACACGAATCAAATAAACAAACTTCCACATTCGGCTCCTCAACTTCCCACAATGTCATTCTCGAGCAAGATTAGCAGGTTCAATCTGATTAATTGGGCGAAGCAAATGCATGCGCAGATAACACCCGATGGATTTGATGGACAGCAGTGGGACTGGGGAATAAATTCATTAGCAATCGGCGTGTCCTCCCAAATGTGTCTTTCTCTCCTGTGCGCCTGCTTTTCATTTACTCTCGGTAAACTTTTCACTCCTCAGGTTGGAGGAAATAGTCATTCCTCATCAATTACCCAGGCGCTGGTCATAGCGAGATGTTGATTGAGTTTGTAATTTGGGAGGTACAGTGTTGGAGAAATTCAGATTCCCTCACTAAACCACAGAGCAGATAGAAATCCAAATGAAACATTGTATGAGAGGCATTTTGAGTTAACATGGCAGAATCTGAAATATCAGCTTATAATAATATGTATAATATCAGTTTATCATTGGACTCTACAGAATACCACTGACTTTATCTCAGTTTAGAGGAGGAACTCACTGTATATGGTGTATGTCAAGGTTTAAACATGGTGTTTGTGTGTGTGTAAGCTGCAAAAATCTCCACTTTTTCTCTTTAGAGCTCTTTTTTTTTATAGGTGAGTTTCAGCACCGGCTCACTATTTGAAGTCTGTAAACCTGTGTGTCTTTCCGCATGGCTCCTAAAAGCGATCAATGTGTCAAGAAAGGCCAGGGGTGAAATAACACCGGCTTTATCTTTGCTCAGTGGACCTCATCCGTCTGTGATAGTACAAGTGATACTATGAAAACAGAACGGCGGCGTTGGTAGACCGAAGGTTTGACTAATGAGACCTCTCGAGTAACTCCCTCCTCAGACGCGAAAAGGGCAGCATATGAAAACGTCTGCCATCACCACCGACCATGCCTCTTTCCTTGACACTGTGGAGGCTTGCTGGACCGCAGACATTTGTCATTTAAAAAGGAAAATTTCATTTCAAAAAATCCAATATTGAGTACATTCAAAGATCATGTTCTACAGTAATAGTTAGCAGATTATATTTAGAAAAATTAGACAAACAGAGTTAAATTAAACTTCACTCCCGGGTCTGAAACTAAATCCACCCACTGCATAATTTTGAAAAAATGCAAAAAAATGTGGGCAAGGGACTGAAAGATAAAACCACGCCCACTTTCGTAAAACGGAGGCCTTGACGCAGTGTCGCCAAATACGAAAGCTATTAGCTTGGAAATTAGCAATATAGCATGGGGCGCTAAATTTGATGGATTTACTGTTGATCAGACCACAAATAAGACCATGATTACACACCCAGTCCCTCCGCCTCACTTCCCGCCATTTAGGGACTACTTTGCCGGGAGGATAGTGGGCGACAGCTTCAGAAACGGACCGTCATGGCTGTAACATCTTGAATTCAGCCAGCTCAAACCCTAGCGCCTCCCGTCTCCTATTGGCGGGGAGCAGGGACTTAGCGCTGCCGCTAGCCACCAGCCCTCTGCTCTGCTCATTTTCTGTAACCAGATTAACGTTAGCATGAAAACATGGTGGAATTAGCGAGTTAATGTTAGCTAGCTATCTAGCCAGGTGCTAAATAACAAAAATGCTTCACATGCACACTCCTGTCACAGCGTATGAAAGCACATGGCTATCTCCAGTCCACAGAAAGGACGCTACACAGTGGCTACGGAAAAAAGTAAAGTCAATCGACGGTGTGGGGAGAGACAAGAAGGGGGGTCTGAGTAGAGGGCGTTAAATTCTTTGATTTCATTACGTAGGTTAGTTCCAAACGGTCGACTCTATCTCGGAATGGCTTTGCAGGATTAGGGCTGATTTAAAACAATACATGGCGTTTCGAGACATTTTGAACCATGAAATGCGTATTTTTATTAACACCAGCATTGATGTGTTTCATCAAAGTACTGTTATGTCATTTAGTTTCTACCTTTAAAAAACATGTTTAAGTGTGCAAATACTCTTCAAAATTCCCTGGATTGCATGTTGTTTAAAAAATATTGGACACAAGTAACAAGTAAAAGCACAAAAAAAGAATTGGCATAGAGTAGACAGTTCAGAGGGGACACTTAAACACACAGTGGTAATTAAGCCTAATTGCTCTGCATGGGTGGGGGGACATCAGGTTGCAGTTAACATTTTTCATTGGACAGAAGATTAAGTGTCCTAGCCAGTCTATCTATCTATCTTAATCACGCCAGCGTTTTTTTTTTTTTTTTTTACTGCTTGTCTAAGAGAAAGCTCGCCCTGATGATCGCTCCAGCTCCTGATGAAAGAGACTGGCCGAGGAGATTCAGATAGCACTCCCGTGCCTGGGTGCTCAGTCCAGTGTGGGGGGTAGACAGGGAGAGTGATGCAGCAAACAGCTGCTGGGGAAGCATTTTAAGTCTGAGATCTTTCCTTCCTTCAACCCGAGGTAGAGTATATGGACCCTGATAACATTCCTGACCAGTCAAAGGTGACTTGTGTTTGTCCAAGAATTACTTCTGCAAGGCGAGGAGGCTTTACTGTCAGTGAGGAGATGCAGCAGGAAACAAGCTACTGCACACATAAAACAATACCAATTAACCTTTAGTTGTGTAGCATCTTTCTTGACAGAACATGGTGCTTTAGAAAATTAAGGCCTAAAATTAGGCTACAGCAAAAAAATAATCAATCAATACTGTGAAAATGTTGTGCTGTTTCAGACAAAAGTTGCTGATCTTTGGAGAGATTAATAATAGAACGGTGGTCTTACACTTGTCCAACAAAGATGGCCTCAAATAGAAATTCAGGACCAAACGACAAAAACCCACAATGTGACGACATTTTAAACCAACCAAGTCAAGTCAACTTATCTATTTGCTTCAATATTGCAAATAAAAAGTTGGCCTCAAGGGGCCTCAAACTCATTTAAAAAAAGGCATTTTTAGTTGCCCTCTTTTTCTTGGCCGCAATTGACTCACAATCACTCCCCTCCTTTCTTTTTCATTGACCACGTAAAACATCCCAAAATAGACATTGTACGGTCCGTGACAGATTGCAACCCCGGCTCTATTAGACCCGTCTCGCACAGTGTGACAATCAATTAACTTATTATTTGTCACCAGTCTAAAGCGCCTTTAGGCTGCTGGTTTTGAAATCTACGAGCCCTCATGGCGAAGGATTGCTCTCCTTTGGTCTTGTAGACTTTGGAACAACCTGAAGAGTTGTAGCTGAAGGATCGATGGCAGCAGTCAACAAAGGGAAAGTAGTTGATTTGAGTTGAATGAGAGACTGTTATCTTAGCAGGAGCAACTACCTCCTGAAAGTTACTGATCCAGGTCTAACAAGAAGTCTGGCACATAACCCCAAGTAAAACCGTAAATTGTAATTTTTACACTTTGGTTTTCGTATGGATAAAATAAATGAGATCTAAAGTTGCATCCTGCATTTAAGAGCTTAAGAGGTGTCAAATGAGTTACCTTTGGAGCTAGCGGTTTCCCCTTCTCTCAGGTCTTTATGCTAAGCTAACTGTCTTCTGACTATACAGACAGGAGTGGTAAAATCTTCAATTTTCAACACTAGTACCGATTCCATACCTGATATTGATAGCTATTTAAATGCCTTTTCAGTACCATACTTCATACAAAAATACAAAACCCTTAAATATCACGTTTTGTGAACATGTGCAACTA